ACGCAGCAAGCACTATGGCCCTAGACTAGCATATAGAAATGAAAGGAATTGAGATGCACAAGGAACTAAGATAAATTCACAAGACTAGGGATTACTTACTCTATAATTTCTATGACATCGATCAACTATAGTTATTCTTTCCTTTTTAGAATCCAATTTAGTATTCTAAATTGGAACTTGAGTATGTGAGATGGACATCACCTGTTTTGCCTCAGATGACGAAAGGAAGTTTTGATGGTGGATTACCTAAGGACGTTCATTGTAAACTGTGTGTTTTCTGCATTTTCAGTAATCCTTTTCTTAAATTTTCACCAAGTCTTTCCAAGTCTTAAATTTTCACCAAGTCTTAAATTTTCATCAATTTGGTCTGAGCTTCCCATCTGACCATGACACAAACACACATGGAATCGAAAAAGGAAGAAATGGATAAAAGTTGGGGGGAGGTAGATATGAGGCTCATGAGTCACGACAATGGATTAGAAACTGAAGTCACCATACTGGATGCAGGAATAACCAAACTCAATGAGATGTTCTCAACTAATTTTCTTGACCTTCAGATTGTTGAATCTGGCATCGCAGTATTTGAGGATTCCCCCAGCTCAACCATCCCCCATAGACATGGTCACATAGATCATCCCCAATATCATTGATTCTCCTAAGGAATAATTTTTCCCTGCCCAAGGGGCCACTCTGTACCGTGATTTTCCTCTACGCCACGTGCCAAGGGGCAGACAGTGGAGGGGAACTCAGGGTGGCTGATTCCATCTTTGGAAACAGGCAACTAGAAAGGAAAGGAATTGAAAGACACAGGGAAAGCTAGTTTAAATGTGCAGTGCCATCAATTACTTGTTCTACTTTTTCTATGTTTTAGATTATGTTTAGTATTATGAATTAGAATCGGAATACGGGAGATGGGGCATTAATTATTTTTCCATAGAATTTGAGCACTTGCAGGAGAAAGAAATTCATCGTTACTGGATGACCATTGTTATGTTACAGTTTTCTGCAATTTCATTATTTAAGCATTTAATGGCACTTCACTTCTACCAAAGAACTGCTTCATAGTTCCCCATTTAAGGCTATGTTTACTAGTTAAAAACCTGTTGTTGCAGAGAATGCCTTATGTGGAAATTGATTGGCATGGATATGCTATGCTGTAAAATAAAATGTTCCATGTATTCTAGAACAAAGCAACAAACCTATACACTTCTTCATCACAGGAGTGTGTTGATATTCTACGGAGCTCTTCGGGATGGATTAAATTAATACATTTTGCTAAGGTGGACATACTTAAACAAACTATTGGTTTTCTTATTGTAGTTAATTACCTATTGGTTTTCGTATTGTAGTTCACGGGAATCTATTAACAAACCATGCTGAAATGAACTCAAACTAAATATGCAAATCAATGCAATCATTTCAAAAAACCATATGAATTAAATCTTTCCTAAATATTGTGTAACTTTAAGTCATTAATCCCTTTTTAGGCTACCAGACGATGCAATATTTAAGATACGTTTGTCCTCCATCCTCTATCAGGTAACTAAAATTTAAAAATAAACCAAACTTACCTTGGTATCAAGCATGATGGCAATAACATTGTCTTTTGTTTGGGCATTATACTCCTTAACCAAATCAATCACTTTCTGATGAGAAGCGTGATCTCCATGAGACATGTTGAGGCGTGCAACATTCATTCCAGCTTCAGCCAGCTTCCAGATCATTTCCTTAGTGTCGGTAGAAGGACCAATTGTGCAAACTATCTTTGTTTTGCGTCTCACTATAGGTTTAGACCACATACCCACAGTGGTGTCACCATGTTGCTGAATTGCCTTTGAATACTGAATTTGGTCTTCACCCTGATTGACGAGCACCAATGATTGGTAAGACAATTTGTCAACTATGGCAAGGATGAACTACAACTATGTAGCATTTTCATGATGATAAAACTGTGATATTTAAACGAAATCACCCCCTCAATGAAGAGGGTACCCTTTCATTTTAGCACGTCAATAAAAATGATGGTACGTTCGAATACATCAAACCTAAGAGATGTGATGCAAAATGTTACATACATAAATTATGTAACCCTGGAAGATGGCAAGCTGCAGAGCATGTTCACTGATTATCCATATATGACTAAACTACATAAAAACATGATAATGGTTTCTTTTTAAAAGGATTAACTTGAGTATTTACTAGAAAACAGCCAAAAGACTACAACTTATCAATTAACAGCATACTCATTTCTTCTAAACATGTTATTAAAGTACAACAATTGCTCAGAGGTCTCACTTCAGACAAAGCTATAGAGAACACATACGAACAAAACATCCAGATCTAATCTTTTTTAATTAGCATAGAGCCTAAGGTCATATTTAATCCCAACTTTCGAGGATAACTACCCCTTACTAAGCCATGGATGAATCAAGAATCAAATTTGAGAAAGATATCATAAGAAAACTAAGACATACACAAAGAGAGTGGATTTTAAAACTCAGAAAGAGAACATGCTCTTCAAAACACTGCGTTTCTTCTAAATGTGGTTCCCTCTGAGCCTTTAATCCTATTAAGATAGCCATATCAAGTAAAATTAAACAAAGGAAGGACGCGAAACTCCAAAGCCAATTATATAACCTGTGAAACATCGTCAGGAGACACGGGAAGGATTTGGGGCTCGGCGCGTGAAGATACTTTGACAGTAACACCCTGTGAATTAAGCCGCACAGCTTTAGAGCTTTTGCTCTGTTCACTCCAAGCCAAAAAATTCGAGCCTAAGCAAGCAGGGTTGAGCTTCTCCACTCTCCCGCGCAGAGCTCCGCGACCATGGCTCGGGAGAGAGGTCTGAATCGATCTAGTCGCCACCACTTGAGACATTCTTCTATAAGACTTGCAGAAAGAGTTGGGAGGTAGAAAGAGAAACCGAGTTGCCGGAAGAAACGAGAGATGAGAGTATAAATGTGCGGCGGTAGAAACGAGAACTTCGAGCAAATCGCCGCTGTGTTTTGGCGGAAGACAGACTCTGGGCCTCGTTTGTATCGAACTGGACTGTAAATATTGATTCTGACTGAAGAAACATATGTATATATATATACAAAAAAAACACTCTGTAAGGACGGCTGTGTAGGACATAGACTATATTTGAGCTCACATAGAGGGCCGTTGGTAGTTGACATGTTAAGCGTTTATAAGTAAAATTAGAGGCCTTTTGCCAAAGCTGTTTTTTCGGCTTATAGTCAACTTTTTTCACAAAACACTTAATTTTTGTTTTTGCACGTTGAATTGTGTCATTAACAGAAAAAGTAAAGTTGTAGTTACTTTTCTGGCTGTATTGGCTGAAGTTACTGCAGATGATCATTTTAGCTAGGTTTACATATAATTTTTTCTTTATTTTATTAATAAAATATTTTTTTAAAATAATTTTTTCTTAAAATCAGCAGAATCGGCCAATGCAGCCACTACAGCCAAGACTTCATAAATTTCAGCAGAATCAGCCAAATCAGCCGATTTTCGTGCTACCAAACGGGCTCTTAATATTCCTCTTTTGATTCTCCATGTCCATTAAGGGCATCCTCTGTTTAGATTATCTAGTGATTAACTTGATAATTTTTTTTGACATTATGATTGGGAAGAAGAGATTATTCACAGAAAAATATTTTTAAAAATATTCTCGTTATATAATACTTGTACAATACATGATTGCACTTTTCATTGAAAATAATACAACTCCTGAACAAAAAAGTACTTGTATTAGACTTTAGCATGTGAGGCTACTTCGGGAGCATTGAATAAAAATATAATATTCTTCTCACAAAACTCTCTAGGGTAGTCAAATAAATATTTCATAGAAAACCGATAAGAAGTCATTAAAATATGCTAACTAGATTTCACTATTATGTATAATCTCGATGTAAATCAGTGTCGCCTCTTCATCTCGCATCAATAGAAATACATGTTTTCCTTTGTTGGATGATATGATTCCAAATACTTAAATTGTCTTCTCCTTATTTGAATATGATAAATCCATTATCATCTAAAAAAATATGTAGTTTCATGTCACAAGCTTCATCAAAATACATTTTCTCTTTCAACCACAGGGTCAGTCTCAAGAGTTTACTTAGGTTAGATGTTTTCTTAATAGATCCAAAAGCTCAATTACGTTCCGTATTGTCTTCTTAATTAACCCCCATTCTAGCAAGAACGTCGCACCATGACCTATGTTTGCGTCAAACCTATGAAGTGCATGGTATAGACATAAGTTTCTAACTTTTAACTTTTGTACTATTTTAAAAGTGTCTTAATGTTTCTAGTTGTATGTTTGATATAATAATAATAATTCAGAGTTTTAAAAAAGATCTCTTTATAGCTTCTGACAAAAAGTCTATAGCTTTCAGCATTAATTAGTGACAGTATGTAACACCGCCCCCAAGTATTTGTACTTTATCAAATTATGTATTGAACCCAAGAAATGAATAAACGCATTTTACGTGATTGTGAAATTTTATCAATTCTTTTACGTGAATAGTAAAATTCACGTGGGGCCCACACCGGAAGCGGGGGGCCGCCCGATATTATCGGGACCACATATTATATTCATTTGGGTCAAGATAATATGTGTATAATGGTGGATATCCTTGTTGGGCCATAGAAGTTATGTGAGTAACCTTTTTGGCAAATAAAGCCCATTTATCGGTACCGGTGTACTGACAGATAAAAGCCATAATAAATTATGGAGACCGCTAAATTAAAAGTTGGGGGATGTACACTCATTCTTACATCCAATAATAATTGGAAGAATGATAGATATTTCATTTTATCCGATAAAATGAAACATAGTTAAAACAGTCCGGAAAATACAACTTTCGGGACCGAGTGTACACTCGGGGACACAAAGGGATGACCACCCATCTAAGTGGGGGCCATCCCCACGTTTTAGTCTTGCAAATGTCCATGGGAGCCGCACAAGGACATGGAGAAACAAGGAGGAAAATTGATTGAGAGCTCAATCAATTGGAAGGTGGGACCCTTGCCATAGTATTATTGTGAGAGATGCCAAAATGGCATTCTCAATCACACCAACTAATCCCATTCGTATCCAGCATCAACCAAGTGAGAGAAGCTCATCAAAATCTCCATTTTCATCCACCATATTCGAACCAAAGCTTAAGGAGAAGAAGGAGGGGAAAGAAAAGAGAAAGAAGAAGGAAAACTTGAGGATTAACAAGGTAATAACTCCATTAATCTCATCCCTCTTCATTAACCTTCCAATATGATTATATGATCATATTTCACACCCCTAGGACCATTCTACATGTTATATGGGAAGAATGAAGGGTTGGAAGGTTGGTTCATATCCAAAACGGATTTAGAGAACAAAGTTGACCGGTTCGTCGGAAAATAACCTTTTAGAGGTTATTTGTGTTGATATGGGTTTTATGATGATAAAACCTTGTTGTTAACTTGTATAAGGTACTTCAAGGACTTTCACGGAGTTGAAAGGGTCGCCGGAGTGTCGCCGGAGTTCGTTGAAGTTCACCGGAGTTTCACCGGAGCTCAATAAGAAAGGCTAGAACTTCATAAGCTTCTTTTGAGGTGAGAAGACGGCTATATGCTTTATAACTTTTGATTGAGGCATGAGATTACCTAAAGTAATCAAGGATATGTTTTACGGAATGATTAAAGTTAATCAAGTATTGGCTTATGCCATGATTATATATAAAACAAAGTTGAAAGGCATGTTTTGTATGTTTGGTGATTAAAAATGTGATAACTTATTATGTACAATGATCCAGGGGTCAAAAATGGTATTTTTGGATCAAGGACTTCAAGTAGAATATGCATGTAAAATTTCACGTTAATCGGACTCCGTTTGGGCGGTCAAACGGGCGTTGACCGCCAAGTCAACTACAATACCCGACCGGGTGTCTGCTGAAAAATTGGCTCCAAGGGCCGCTGTCTCCTATACCCGATCGAGTATGGATAGATACTCGATCGAGTATGCCTTGAAAATTAGCCTTACGGGCTCCTGTCTCCTGTACTCGACCGAGTATAGGTGGGTACTCGATCGAGTATTGGGTTATACTCAAAACGGGTAGTTTTTGAGTAGGTTAACGTGGACCGATCAGGTGGGACCCGTCCATGTTGGTTATTAAGGGTTATTATATGACTATAGGACTAGGTATTGTCCATAGTTAAGTGAATGCAAGGTTAGCCATATCCAGGTTAGGGTTTGGTTAGAAATAAGGTTGAGGTTGAGTATCCTCGGGACGGTAAATGATCCTAAAACTCGGTTGAGGTTGAGTATCCTCGGGACGGTAAATGATCCTAAAACTCGGTTGAGGTTGAGTATCCTCGGGACGGTAAATGATCCTAAAACTCGGTTGAGGTTGAGTATCCTCGGGACGGTAAATGATCCTAAAACTCGGTTGAGGTTGAGTATCCTCGGGACGGTAAATGATCCTAAAACTCGGTTGAGGTTGAGTATCCTCGGGACGGTAAATGATCCTAAAACTCGGTTGAGGTTGAGCATCCTCGGGACGGTAAATGATCCCAAAACTCGGATGGGGTTGAGTATCCCCGGGAGGGTTAACACTCCTGAAACTCGGTAGGATATTATGAAGGTAGAATGTAGCTCTTAAGCTAGGCATTCAGGAATGAAAGGGGAAAGGTTGGGAAGTACCTTGTCTCTAAAAGACTCTTTTGTGAGAAAATGACCTACGGGTCAAGTATTTTACAAGTATATACGGTATGTATTATCTTGGGGATGGGGTAACAATGGTTACACCTATAAGTATATGTACCACCCTATTTTTGGGTCTCGTGTCTGAAACATTAGTTATTCCTCATATAGCCTGCTTGTCACTAGTACTTCTATGGAGTACTGACCCCTTCGGGGGCCCTCACATTTTTCAGGTTGAGGCTAGAGTCCTACCACCTGCACCTTTGCCTAGGGTGACTGATCAAGGAGGAAGACGTGGTTCGTGCTTCCATTCATCTTCAAAACTGATAAACTGTTCATGGATATTTTTAACAAAGTTTTCTATTAAAACAATTGGGGGCCTGCGTGCCCGTATTTGCCACGTGTGGCTCAGTATCAAACATATCTTATTTTCCGCATTTGTTTGACTAATATATATTGATGTTGATTGTATGGGTTTACTAATCGGCTTGGCAATAGAACTCAACGGACGCCTTGTATGATTTGATAAGGATGAACTACGTTGTTCTTATTGGGTTGTACGGCGGTTGTCTACGTGGCACGGACGCGGTCCGGGGCGTGACAATTAAGTGGTATCAGAGCCATCGGTTTCTAAACTATATAATTAACCTCTCAATATAGCATCATCAAAAATGTTTTGAGCAAAACCATGAGCAAAAGTTTTTGTACTTAAGGAACCGTTGGAAACCAAGTTATTGACCTCTTATTGTTAAGACGGTACCCTTAACAGTTTGTTGGCCATAATGTTGGACCAAGTGGTGTCTTTTGTACTATTCCGTCAATTGACATTGATACGAGTCTAACGGCTCATTCCAAATTTCTTTCAGAAATGGAGGGTAGAGGCATGGCTACGAGGAACAACCCGAGAGGGCAAACTCCGGTGACGTCCGAAGGGGCTAGCCAGGTTGCATCTCGGGGCGCGAGAGGCGGTAGGAGAGGCCGTGGAGGCCGTGGAGGCCGGGGAGGCCGTCGGGCTCAAACCGTGAGCGATGGCCATGTTAGCTCGGTGCATGGAACTCACACCGAGGATTATGACTCTACCTATGTCCCCGAGACGGAACATGAGGAGACCCCATATGATGGGGGTGATACGTATACTGATGATGACAACGATGAGAGTGATGCCAAATTCGCCCAGATGGGTGAACTGTTTGAGTGGTATCAAAAGGAGAAGTTGAGGAGAGATCTTAGGCGCCAAGCTAGGCGTGCCTCTCAGGGGGCTTCAGGTCACGGAAGCCGGGGAGCATCAGTGGCTACACCTGTGGCGTCACAGGGAATGCATGGAGGAGGTTTTTGTGTAAGAATCTCCAAATACCTCAAGGAGGCTAGGGCCTTGGGGTGCAAGTCATTTGACGGCAAGGGTGATATATCGGTGGCTGCCGATTGGATAAAGAAGCTAAATGAGGCTGCTAGGGATATGCAGATCGGGCTTGATATAAAGCTGACAGTTGCTACCAGGTTACTGGAGGGAGTAGCCGCGGTATGGTGGGAAGGCGTGGAAGGAAAGTTCCACGGTGAGACCACCTGGGAGAAATTTGAAGTAGAATTCTATAATCAGTACTACTCAGAGTTCGAAAAGAACCAGAAGAGGAAGGAGTACATGACCCTGGTACAGGAGGAGGATTGCTCGGTGAGGCAACTGGAACAAAGGTTCCGGGACTTGGCACGGTACATACCCGAGTACGCCATGGATGAGAACCGTATGGCTAATCACTTCTGGGATACCCTACACTTGGATATCCGTGATCGGACTACCTACAATCATCACATGACCTTTAGTGAGATTGTGGACCAGGGGCTACTTGGGGAAGCCAAGTGGAATGAAAGGAAGAAGAGAGACGCCGAAGAGGCGAAAAAGAGAAGATGGGGGAATTCTGGACCCCAAGACCATTCTCGGAAACATCACGCCGGGAATGGAAGATCATTCAGGGCGCTGGAGCCACCGGCAAAGAAGAGTAAGGGCCCAGGAGGGCAAGGGCATAGCTCGGGGAGCGTGAGGCCACCAAGGTGTCCAAACTGTAATAGGAATCACTCCGGGAAGTGCAATGAACCACCTCGGTGCTACAAGTGTGGTAGCACAAGCCACCTCAAACTCTCTTGCCCAATGTTGAGTGGAGGTGGGCCATCGGGAGCTGTCGAGGCACCTACGTCTGGTAGGGGTCGTGCGGGACCATCTCAGGGCGGCACGGGAAGGGGCGGACCCACGGCTAGTAACGCCGCGTCCGTTAACCAAGGGAGGACCCAGGCACGGGTGTACGCAATGACCGAGGCTGACGCTCGGGCCAATCCGGACTCCATTGCAGGTAATCTTTTGACCTCACATGTGTTTTATTCATTCGTTTGAAGTAAAACATTCGAAAAATGTGTAATACCCGACCGGGTATCCCTATAGACCCGACCGGGTATGGGAAATTCTTCAAGATTGAGGTTTGTACTCGTTCGAGCAAGTTTAGCAGGACCCTTCAGTTTTGACAAATCCAGCCATACTCGACCGAGTATGGTTATATACTCGATCGAGTATTAGTAAATTTTTGTGTTCGAGGCGTGTACTCGATCGAACGTCGTGGGCAGGAAGCTCCTCGTTTAAAACTTTGAGTGATACCCGACCGGGTATGGGCATATACCCGACCGGGTATAGATGTTTGTTCGGGTTCGAGGTGTGTACTCGACCGAGCAGAAATTACAGGGGGTTGTTGTTTAAAAACCTGAATGATACCCGATCGGGTATAGAAATATACTCGACCGGGCAGTGTTGACAGGGAGTTTCTTCTTAAGAGCCCGAGTGTTACCCGACCGGGTATGGAGAGTTACCCGACCGGGTATAGGGTGGCCCCAAGCTAGAATATTTTTTCGTTCAGTCCTTTTCAGTCGGGACGTTGAGTAGTGTGTCTTACATGACTTATATATGTAGGAACACTAAAGATCAACGGTAGACAAGCGAGAATTCTCATCGACACCGGGGCGCAACGTTCATTTATGAGCGAAGCGTTTGCCGAGGGTTTGGACATACCATTAACGGCGATGACACAACCTTTGTTGGTCTCTACACCGTTGGGAGATGATGTAGAGAGGAAGCACTACTATCCTTCATGTAATGTGGGGATAGGGGAGCACCGTCTAATGGGCGACTTTGTACCGTTAGACATGCTTGAATTCGATGCCATACTCGGCATGGACTGGCTTGAGAAACACCATGCAAAGGTAGATTGCTACACCAAGGTGTTAGAATTAGAAGACGAAGAGGGAAATACTCTATGCTTCGAGGGAGATAGAGGAAAATTCAATCCCTGTATCATATCGGCCTTAAGGGCGAGGCGTTTGATGAAGAAAGGTTATCAAGCATACTTAGCCTATGTCATAGGCAAGGAAGGCAAAGGAAAGAGCCTCACGGAGGTGAGGGTGGTGAGTGAGTATCCGGAAGTTTTCCCTGAAGAACTCCCGGGACTCCCACCAGATCGGGAGATCGAGTTTGAGATTGAGGTTGAACCAGGCACCAAGCCCATCTCAATTCCTCCGTATCGAATGGCACCGGCTGAACTTCAAGAATTGAAAGTTCAATTGGAAGAGCTACTAGATAATGGATTCATTAGACCGAGTCATTCACCATGGGGAGCACCCGTACTCTTTGTAAAGAAGAAGGATGGTACAATGAGAATGTGTATCGACTACCGTCAATTGAACAAGGTCACAATAAAGAACAAATATCCTTTGCCAAGGATTGACGACTTGTTTGATCAATTACGGGGAGCAACCGTGTTCTCCAAGATCGACTTGAGGTCGGGCTACCATCAACTAAAGATCAAGGAGAGTGACATACCCAAAAGTGCATTCCGTACAAGGTATGGTCACTATGAGTTCCTAGTGATGTCGTTTGGGCTTACAAATGCCCCCGCGGCATTCATGGACCTCATGAACCGAGTATTTCATCAATACTTGGACCAATTTGTCATAGTGTTCATTGATGATATTTTGATATACTCCAAGAACGAAGAGGAACACGAGAAACATCTAAGACTCGTGCTTGAAACACTGCGGGAAAAGCAACTCTTTGCCAAATTCTCTAAATGTGAATTTTGGCTTGGGGAGATCGGTTTTCTCGGGCATGTGGTATCAGGCTCGGGCATTTCAGTTGATAACTCGAAGATTGAAGCAGTCACTAATTGGGAGAGGCCCAAGAATGTGAAGGAAATACGGAGTTTCCTCGGTTTAGCGGGGTATTACCGCAAATTCGTGGAGAAGTTCTCGGTGATAGCATCTCCACTCACGAAGCTCACTAAAAAGGGGGCTAAGTTTGTGTGGGATGACAAGTGCGAGAAGGGGTTTCTTGAGCTAAAGAAACGTTTGACTGAAGCACCAGTGCTTGCCCTACCCGTACAAGGGTTAAGGTATGACATCTACAGTGATGCTAGTATCCAGGGGCTTGGATGCGTACTGATGCAATCAGGGAAGGTAATTGCTTATGCTTCTCGACAGTTGAGGAAGCATGAAGTAAATTACCCCACGCATGATCTGGAGCTGGGGGCTGTGGTGTTTGCTTTGAAGATTTGGAGGCATTACCTTTACGGTGAGGTGTGTCACATTTATACTGATCACAAAAGTTTGAAGTACGTGTTCACTCAGAAAGAGTTGAACATGAGGCAGAGAAGATGGATGGAGCTGATCAAGGATTACAACTTGATTATTGAGTATCATCCAGGGAAGGCTAACGTGGTAGCCGATGCTCTTAGTAGGAAGAGCTCATCGGGGGTTTTACTCTCATGCTTGCAAGCATTGAGGGCACGCGTGGAGGTATCCACGAATGGGGCTCTATTGGCCAGATTTGAGGTGAGACCCACCTTATTAGACGAAATCAGGACGCGTCAAGGCAATGACGAGGAAATTCAGGAAATCCGGGAACGGATGCTGGTGGGACCTGTCGAGGGTTTCCGTGAGAGGGAAGATGGACTCCTACTATTCAGGGAGCGAGTGTGTGTGCCGTCAGACGAGGAGCTCCGAAAATCTATTCTTGAGGAGGCTCACTCATCTGCGTATGCCATGCACCCGGGTGGAACAAAGATGTACCGGGACTTGAAGGAAAGTTACTGGTGGTCAGGGATGAAGAGAGAGATTGCAGAATATGTGAGTCGTTGCCTTACCTGTCAGCAGGTTAAGGCAGAGCACCAGCACCCAGCGGGGTTATTACAGCCACTTACCATCCCAGAATGGAAGTGGGAGCATGTTACTATGGACTTCGTGGTAGGTCTACCACGCACGGTTAGGAACTATGATGCAGTGTGGGTGGTGGTTGATAGGTTAACCAAGAGTGCTCATTTCCTTCCTATCAACACTACTTATACGCTTGAACGACTGGCCAAGTTGTACACAGATGAGATTGTGAGACTGCATGGGGTTCCAGTTACGATAGTATCGGATAGAGACCCACGGTTCACATCACGGTTTTGGCCTAAGTTCCAGGAATCCATGGGAACAAAGTTGAGGTTTAGCACGGCATTCCATCCTCAAACAGATGGGCAATCTGAACGGGTGATTCAGATTTTGGAGGACATGCTGAGGGCATGTGCCTTGGAGTTCCAAGGAAGTTGGGACAACCAGTTGGCCTTGGTGGAGTTTGCTTATAACAACAGTTATCAAGCAAGTATAGGCATGCCTCCATACGAGGCATTGTATGGGAGGAAATGTCGGACACCTTTGTGTTGGGATGAGGTAGGCGAGGCTAAGCTTGAGGGCATCGAGCTAGTCGAAATCACCAAGGAGAAGGTGAGGGTTATCCAGGATAGGCTCAAGGCTGCCCAAGATCGGCAGAAGAGTTATGCAGATAAACGTCGGAGGACGTTAGAGTTCGAGGTCGGCGATGAGGTATTTCTGAGGGTGTCACCTTGGAAAGGGATCATCAGGTTCCTCAGTCGGGGTAAGCTTAACCCACGCTACATAGGCCCATTCAAAATCATTGAAAGGATCGGGGTTGTAGCATACCGGCTTCAGTTAACTCCAGAATTAGAAAAGATTCATAACGTATTTCATGTTTCTATGCTCAAGAAGTATGTACGGGACCCGTCACATATTCTTGAGAAACCACCGGTGGAAATCCGGGAAGACCTTCACTATGCGGTGCAGCCGGTAAAGATCATGGACCGACAGGTAAAGAAGCTAAGGAGTAAAGAGGTACCGATGGTGAAGGTACTTTGGAAGAGTGATCGTGTCGAGGAGCAAACTTGGGAAGTGGAGACCCTGATGAGGGAACAATATCCATTTCTGTTTGACTAGACACGTGGATTTCGGGGACGAAATCCCAAATAAGGGGGGTAGAACTTGTAACACCGCCCCCAAGTATTTGTACTTTATCAAATTATGTATTGAACCCAAGAAATGAATAAACGCATTTTACGTGATTGTGAAATTTTATCAATTCTTTTACGTGAATAGTAAAATTCACGTGGGGCCCACACCGGAAGCGGGGGGCCGCCCGATATTATCGGGACCACATATTATATTCATTTGGGTCAAGATAATATGTGTATAATGGTGGATATCCTTGTTGGGCCATAGAAGTTATGTGAGTAACCTTTTTGGCAAATAAAGCCCATTTATCGGTACCGGTGTACTGACAGATAAAAGCCATAATAAATTATGGAGACCGCTAAATTAAAAGTTGGGGGATGTACACTCATTCTTACATCCAATAATAATTGGAAGAATGATAGATATTTCATTTTACCCGATAAAATGAAACATAGTTAAAACAGTCCGGAAAATACAACTTTCGGGACCGAGTGTACACTCGGGGACACAAAGGGATGACCACCCATCTAAGTGGGGGCCATCCCCACGTTTTAGTCTTGCAAATGTCCATGGGAGCCGCACAAGGACATGGAGAAACAAGGAGGAAAATTGATTGAGAGCTCAATCAATTGGAAGGTGGGACCCTTGCCATAGTATTATTGTGAGAGATGCCAAAATGGCATTCTCAATCACACCAACTAATCCCATTCGTATCCAGCATCAACCAAGTGAGAGAAGCTCATCAAAATCTCCATTTTCATCCACCATATTCGAACCAAAGCTTAAGGAGAAGAAGGAGGGGAAAGAAAAGAGAAAGAAGAAGGAAAACTTGAGGATTAACAAGGTAATAACTCCATTAATCTCATCCCTCTTCATTAACCTTCCAATATGATTATATGATCATATTTCACACCCCTAGGACCATTCTACATGTTATATGGGAAGAATGAAGGGTTGGAAGGTTGGTTCATATCCAAAACGGATTTAGAGAACAAAGTTGACCGGTTCGTCGGAAAATAACCTTTTAGAGGTTATTTGTGTTGATATGGGTTTTATGATGATAAAACCTTGTTGTTAACTTGTATAAGGTACTTCAAGGACTTTCACGGAGTTGAAAGGGTCCCCGGAGTGTCGCCGGAGTTCGTTGAAGTTCACCGGAGTTTCACCGGAGCTCAATAAGAAAGGCTAGAACTTCATAAGCTTCTTTTGAGGTGAGAAGACGGCTATATGCTTTATAACTTTTGATTGAGGCATGAGATTACCTAAAGTAATCAAGGATATGTTTTACGGAATGATTAAAGTTAATCAAGTATTGGCTTATGCCATGATTATATATAAAACAAAGTTGAAAGGCATGTTTTGTATGTTTGGTGATTAAAAATGTGATAACTTATTATGTACAATGATCCAGGGGTCAAAAATGGTATTTTTGGATCAAGGACTTCAAGTAGAATATGCATGTAAAATTTCACATTAATCGGACTCCGTTTGGGCGGTCAAACGGGCGTTGACCGCCAATTCAACTACAATACCCGACCGGGTGTATGCTGAAAAATTGGCTCCAAGGGCCGCTGTCTCCTATACCCGATCGAGTATGGATAGATACTCGATCGAGTATGCCTTGAAAATTAGCCTTACGGGCTCCTGTCTCCTGTACTCGACCGAGTATAGGTGGGTACTCGATCGAGTATTGGGTTATACTCAAAACGGGTAGTTTTTGAGTAGGTTAACGTGGACCGATCAGGTGGGACCCGTCCATGTTGGTTATTAAGGGTTATTATATGACTATAGGACTAGGTATTGTCCATAGTTAAGTGAATGCAAGGTTAGCCATATCCAGGTTAGGGTTTGGTTAGAAATAAGGTTGAGGTTGAGTATCCTCGGGACGGTAAATGATCCTAAAACTCGGTTGAGGTTGAGTATCCTCGGGACGGTAAATGATCCTAAAACTCGGTTGAGGTTGAGTATCCTCGGGACGGTAAATGATCCTAAAACTCGGTTGAGGTTGAGTATCCTCAGGACGGTAAATGATCCTAAAACTCGGTTGAGGTTGAGTATCCTCGGGACGGTAAATGATCCTAAAACTCGGTTGAGGTTGAGTATCCTCGGGACGGTAAATGATCCTAAAACTCGGTTGAGGTTGAGCATCCTCGGGACGGTAAATGATCCCAAAACTCGGATGGGGTTGAGTATCCCCGGGAGGGTTAACACTCCTGAAACTCGGTAGGATATTATGAAGGTAGAATGTAGCTCTTAAGCTAGGCATTCAGGAATGAAAGGGGAAAGGTTGGGAAGTACCTTGTCTCTAAAAGACTCTTTTGTGAGAAAATGACCTACGGGTCAAGTATTTTACAAGTATATACGGTATGTATTATCTTGGGGATGGGGTAACAATGGTTACACCTATAAGTATATGTACCACCCTATTTTTGGGTCTCGTGTCTGAAACATTAGTTATTCCTCATATAGCCTGCTTGTCACTAGTACTTCTATGGAGTACTGACCCCTTCGGGGGCCCTCACATTTTTCAGGTTGAGGCTAGAGTCCTACCACCTGCACCTTTGCCTAGGGTGACTGATCAAGGAGGAAGACGTGGTTCGTGCTTCCATTCATCTTCAAAACTGATAAACTGTTCATGGATATTTTTAACAAAGTTTTCTATTAAAACAATTGGGGGCCTGCGTGCCCGTATTTGCCACGTGTGGCTCAGTATCAAACATATCTTATTTTCCGCATTTGTTTGACTAATATATATTGATGTTGATTGTATGGGTTTACTAATCGGCTTGGCAATAGAACTCAACGGACGCCTTGTATGATTTGATAAGGATGAACTACGTTGTTCTTATTGGGTTGTACGGCGGTTGTCTACGTGGCACGGACGCGGTCCGGGGCGTGACACAGTAACTTGTTATACCAAAAAAAGCTAAATTAAACGGTTAGTTTTTTATCAAATAGCTACGACATTTTTCTTTTAAAATCTTTTCAGTCACTAAAAAGCTCACAAAGTATCTTTTCAGCTATGTATGTCAAACATACCTAAATCTTACTTATGATCTTTACTAGATTCAAATCTATCTACAAGATCCCTAGAATCACCTCATTAATTACTTTAGAACGATTTTTTCGTAGAAAAGGAACTTATATTAAAAATCGATCAAAGCAAAGGTTATAGCCAATCAATACCTCAAACTTCACCATCTATTTTTCAAAGGAAAAATTGATAGTAATAATCCCAACTATTCACGGTCCGCTAATAATAATCTCAACTATTCACGGTCCGCTAATAATAATCCCAACTATTCACGGTCCGCTAATAATAATCCCAACTATCGATTATTTCAGAATAATCCCAACTTTAGGGACCTTCCGCCAATAACGGTCCCTATAAATAAATTCATGCAGTTTCTAAAGTGGATGAGAAGAGATATAACAAGTAATCCCTATAAATAATCCCAACTTTTACTTTTTACGCTTAATTTCTATTTAAAATTCACTTATCATAGGAGATAATATCTGGTCACGGACCATTATTGGCGGACGGTCTATATAGTTGGTATTATACAAAAATAATTAATAGTTGGGATTATTGTCAGCGGACCGGCAATAGTTAATTGGGATTATTATATTCAATTTTTCCTTTTTCAAAAGCACCATCTAGATTTAATAAAAATTCTACGATCAGACTTTGAGAAGACCATTTCCAAAGAACCATCTATCGTTGACCAATGACATAGACTTCATACAGACCCTTAAGGTCATCGTACTTTGTACCACTTACCTAGCCTCACAATAGTAAAAAAGTTTTCTCAGTTCCTCATCAGACATAGAAAAGTCCATTCAAAATTGAGCGAAACTTTTTGTTGAACATATGGAATCTTCGAGGCAACTAACAGTCTTATACATCTTGAGACTGTTACTAGCAAGTAACAATAATAATCCAAAGACAAGGTAAAAAAAATGAACTGAAGAAAAATAAAGTTTGAAGTAAAAATAGAGTAAGAAACTGAAGTTGGCCAAACCCTAGTCATGCGTTCATTTCATGGCGGTGGTTCAAGAGGGGGACGATCAAACCATCCACTTGCTCCTTGACTATGATGTTTCCTGTCATGCATTCACCATTCTTGCCAACCAATCTAGCCCCCTCCTGCTTCATCTGAAAACTGAATATTCCTCCTCTATGCCACGAATGAACTCGCCGCCTCAAAAACCCTAGCACTCATTTGAAACGAAATGCCAAACACAAGAAAACCTTTGCCGAAAAAATCAACCCTAGAAACCCTAGGGAGCTATCCATTTTTTAGAGATGAGCAGCCCTAGAACTTTTTGATTTACTTTAGAATAGTTAAATAAGGAGATTTGACAAAACTTTATGGGAGAGAGAGTGTGTTTTTAATAATACAAAGCCTTGATGTGATAATTGATCCCGACTACTACGAAATTCAAATCATTGAACTGCCTCATATATACTACTATGCTTGAATGTCTAGACTAAAGAATGGATTGTAGTTAATAATCAAATGTTTAATAAACAAAACAATTGGGGTTGTAAGGTTATTAAACTGTGACACTTGAAAAATCCTAAAACCTAGCAGTAGAGAGGAGCGGTGATGGGGAAATCCTAACCACTTTCTTTTCATCTCTCCTTTCAATCTTTTTTTTTGTCTAATCATGAAAAAGAAACAAGATCCTTCTATATTTTTTGCAATATGTTTTATGTTATTTTGTACTAATAGGCACTTTCAATCCATTATGTATGTTTCTTTTCTAGCATTGTCTAGAGATTTTGTATTCGATTGTTGAGTCTCGCCGGTCAGGAGTCAATTCTCTGTCATCTTTGCCGAGTATTATTGGCTGCTAATAAGAGGTTGCACTCATCTATTCATCAACTACGGACTGTATTTTATTTCAAGAAGATTAGATCACAATTATTTCTTTCATTCCTATGTCTGGTGAAATCGGAACAAATTATATACTTCACACCTTATCGGTGCTTGACAGAATCGAAAAGTTTCAGAGTTTTTTTTTAAGTTGAGAGTGAAGTTGAGATGTGTGTCTTTTTTCCCTCACCGATGGTTAGTAAAATCAGTTGCTTTGGTCATTATTTTTTCGTAACAGGATTAATCAATCTGCAAGTAAAATCTATATCTTTGTGAGATTAGCGATTTAACGATTCAACATTTTTCATTTGGATAGTTCGTTTCTATATCTAATCCCATTATAACCTTGAACAGTTGAGCCACACAATTGCAATCATTCTTATTATTCTATCAATAATAATTAAATTATTCCCTTCAAAAAATAAACAAAATAACAAGCGAAAAGTACGGAAAAAGTACTTGTGTTTGGACCCGTTTTCAAATAGAGTCATGTGCTTCATTCTTTATCAAAGTGGTTCATGTGTTTAAATTCCGTTATCACAAGAGGGTCACGCCGTTAAAAACGTCTGGAAAAGACCATTAAAAGTAACTCCGGTTTTCAAAAGTGTCCGAGAAATTAAAAGAAAATACCGGAAGGTGCGCCTCAATAAGAGGACCGCTAGACTATCTTTCTTTTTTTGTTTTCAGCCACGCTTGTCACCGGAACGTCCACCGGAAAAGTGATATTAGCGAAATCATTTTTAAAAAAATAATTCAAACAGATCTGAAAAATCCAATTGCGAAGGTGGTTTGGAGGTCATCTTGACGAGGCACACCTTTCAGTATTTTTCTTTTAATTTTTCGTGCACTTTTGAAAATCGGAGTTACTTTTAACGGGTTTTTTCAGACGTTTTTAACGGCGTGACCCTTTTGTGATACGGAATTCAAACACATGAACCACTTTGATAAAGAATGAAACACGTGACCCTATCTGAAAACGGGTCCAACCACAAGTACATTTTCCGTACCTTTTCCAAATAACAAGAGAAAAGGGGCAAAACTCCCCCTCTAGTTGTCACCAAAGGGCACTCATGCCCTTCAACTTTATTTTTGGGCAAAAAGCTCTAAAATATATGAAAGGAGAGCAATTACACCCTTGGCTTAACGGTGCACATGCAACTACCGTTAAAGTTGCTCCTTGGCTACTGGTACTCCGTATAGCAAATATGAAGTGCTCGTTTGAACAGTGCTTTTTCACAATTACAATAATAAATCACTTAGTAATCAACTTATTAAGGATTAAGTGCTCGTTTGTTTTTTCCTATTTTCGGCTTATCTAATTTATCAGATAACTTTTTCACTAAAGACACAACTTTTAATTGTGTAATAATAAAAAAATGAGATTGAAGTAACTTTTTTTGTTGAATTGGTTGAAATTACCCTAGAGGATCATTTTAGTTATTTTTCATATAATTAATTTTTTCTTTTTTTATTAACAAAATATATTTTGAATGTAGTTTTTCATCAATTAGCATAATGAGCTAATTTGTGTATTACCAAATAGACTCTAAAAGTCACTTGAACAGAATCAAATGCGCGAATAAAGAAGTATATTTATCTAGAAGTGGAGAAAACTTGTGGTAGATAGATTGGCTCAACCGAAGATATCTCATTAAGGGACGTGATAGAAGAACCAGTGACGTGTAAGGAATTTTCACTAAATTCTTAATATATTCTTAAAAATGGAATAAAATTAATACATAGTGTTACATACTCCTAATATAATAGACTAAAGAGTCAAATAGGCCCTCGAACTAACTTAAAAAATGCAAATCACCCCTTATATAAGAGGTTCTATCCGGCCGTCGCCATTTCGGGCGGTTCGTGGTGGAATTTTTTGATGAATTTTTTGAGCATCTTCTTCTTTAAGTCTAGTTTACCCTTACCAAATTTTAGATAAAAATTCAACCGGGAAAACAATCAAATGATTTTCTGATATGTATTGTGTTGTTTAACAGCGCAGTTGTCTTCAAAAATTCATTTGACTGCCTACTCGATTGAACTTTTATTCCAAAATATATGCATTAAATAATATGCACCATCTATACGATCGAATGGACAACATAATGTTATTCCAAAATAAATAATCTCATACATACTATTGTGATATTGAGAAAATGTCTCGTGACTTACGAACACCGTACCACTGGTACACAAAAAATGTAATTCAAAAATCAATTATTTATCCCGTTATGGTTTATGTGGTAAAACAACGCATAAGTTATTTAAAAAGTATTGGTGGATGCATACCTTTTAAACTCTTTATCTTCAAATAATTTGATCAAATTTTATCCTTTTTTATTTTCAACTAATTTTCCTTTGAGTTGTCATTTCTTACGCTTAGCTTTAATAGTTTAATGCACTACGGAGTAGCACTTTTCTCTAGAGATAAATGTGTGAAATTGTATAAAAAAATATTATGAACCATAAATTATTTATCGAAAAAGTAAAAAAATATTATTTTGGGAGGGACAAAAAAGAGAATTTGAAAGATAATTTTCGAGTATTATTCTCTACTAGTAAAAAATAAATAATCAGAATTTGAAATTTTATAATGAGACAAATTTAAAATCATGTTTTAAGAAATACTTTATTACTACGTAATATATTAATAAATAAAGCGTAATCAAAATACAGTATATGAATAGTGTAAAATCTGACATGTTGCATTTATTTAAAAACGGATGAATTCAATTCTAATTTCAGGACCAAAATATTCAAATTTATTTCTTTAATAGTGTATTAGCTGAAATTAGAAAAAAATAATCAAAGACGCTATCAGGATTTAATTTGTTATCCACGGTCAATGTAATCAAAGGAGCAAATTCGATAGTTTACTACGTACTATGTAGTTGCCAACTCTGTTAGTTGGCTCACCGTTACACAAGGGG